ACTTAACGACTAAACAACAACAACAACATTCAGTACTCTTCTTCTGTTTTCTTCTTCTGTGCTTTCTGTGATGTCCCATTTTGGGATTGTCAGTTCCAATATAACATTTGGCAAATTTGTCTTATTAGGACAAAGCTTGTGATAGGTGGAGGAATATGCAGGAAAAAAGAGGATAAAGCAGAAATGCTGATGAAAACTGGAGGGCCGGGGGCGGTGAAGAGTACTTTTTGCCTCAAAGGGTGGATAGATCAGATTATTTTACACCAAAAACGATCACTTGGTACAGTAATCAGTTTGTCCAGGTGTTCATTTCGCACATCTTTTGCATGGCTCTTTCTGAAACTTTTTCCTTTCATTTTGAATTCTGAGTCAACAAACCTGTGCTGTTTTCTCAGATCTCCCATCCCTTCCCTTATCAGATTCAGCTGGTATGGCATGGCCAACGCCACTGTTCAGTTTCACCGCCCCTAGTCAATTTCACCACCTCAGGCGCAGGCAGCGGAAAAGAGGAAGTTGGGCAAACCACAAGTCAATTGCTGGCAGGTGGCGGCAATTGACTCAGGGCAGGAACGGATACTTTGTAACAGAGCTGGCTTCCCTTGAATGCCCCAGGCAATGCAAACTGCAACGGCTCGGAAGCACAGCAATTGGCGAGCAATTAAGAAGCCCCGGCTTAGCCTGCAGAAGAAAAGCCCAACGAACTCAACAAACCCACAAACAAGGGACAGTAATCAGGGAGACAAAGAAACATGGCTGAATCTGCCATTTGGGTGAGGGGGAGAATACTGCGGGCAAACCAGTAACCAAGGCAACGGGGAGAAGGGCGGGAAAAGTGTTAACTCCGGGTCAGGGAGGGAACCCTATAAAACCACTGTATGTAACCGCACCAAGCAAACCCTGGCTTTGTTTGTAACCACATTCATTACACCTGAGTAAATTGCTTTCATACGAGCCTGTGTTTCACGGAGTCTTCATTCAGCGATGAATGTGGCAACTCTTACATCCCTGACACACTCATGCACCCTAGCACACACCTGTTGGGTCTCTAGTGGAAAGATGTGCTAAGCCAAACCAGATGGGCTGGAAAATCTTCAAGTGGATCTCTGAATGTAGATCTGGGACTGAAGATAGTTTTCAAAACAGTGAAATGATGACTGGACGTAGGTCAAAATGTGAATGAATGATACCTGGTTAAAGCTGTGTGGCCATACAATAGTGTCATCAATGCTTAACATTTCCTCTTGGGAATCCATGGGGACTGCCCTTCCAACCTTGATTCTCAGGAAAGATAGATTTGAAAATGTGATCCAGTTCATAATATCAAATCCAGTCTCTAACTCTCCATTTTGGTTGAAGGAAACTTTTTCCCCGGCATTATTGTTAAATGAGAAACTTCTCACATACTGGTTGAGCTGCATTGGAAAAGAAGCAGAGTTATTTATCAGGATGAAGAACAATATTCCTTTCCCTCTTGGAAGTACATACATAATAAACTTTTAAAAAGTGTTATGAAGGATAGTTGGTGATGTTACAGTGGTATTAATTAATACTTAGCATTGCCCAATAGGCCATTATTATGATTAAAATGCATCCAGAAAACAAAATATGGAACCATATTCCATTTAAAGGAAATACAGATAAATAACAGAAAAATAGATAATAAAAATTATAAATTCCAGTCCATTTTAAAGAGGATAAAGATATTGAGCAGAGCAATTCAATGACACTGAGGGGATAGAAGAGGTTTTAAATCTTAGCCCCTCAAAGGAAACTCAGTTCTGATTAGTCAGCAAACCCAACAGCTCTATTCAAAGTAACAGACAATTCTTTCACAACACATTAGCTGTAACTACTTTGTGACTCCTGTTTTCTCCATTAAACAAATGGAGACTGTGAGTTCTAGTCCTGTGAAAGCCAGCTGGGTCATTCTGGGCCAGTCACTCTCTCTCAGGCCAACCCACCTCACAGGATTGTTGTTGAGGTGAAAATAGGAGGAGGAAAGAGTTTTAGGTATGTACACCGCCTTGAGTTACTTGTAAAGTAATAAAGTTGGGATAAAAAAGCCTTTTAAAAAAATCCTAGAAAAAAAGGGCCTATTAACTGGCCATAAATTTAAAAAAAGAAAAAAAATCAAGGAGGCACAAGAGAGTTTCTTTTTGCCTCATGAACTTGCCACCAATGATCTCTCACTCGTGCACTACTCGTGTCTTGCGTATAATCCTAACCACAGGGGTTTCTATTCCCACATATTTAAAATGACCAACACAATCATTCCAAGGACAAAATCTGTGTGTGGAGATCCATATCTGGGACTTCTTCACAGAATCAAGTTTGAATTATTTTGAGGGTGGTGTCTTTGAATGTCCAGAGGATCATGGTTATAAGTTGTGTGAATTACATGTAACGTCTTCTTCTGTGTGGCTGTGGGTGCATGTCTGCATTTGTAGGTGAGAAAGACTTCAGACAGTTCATGTATTTATAAGGAAGCACCTCCTCTCTGCCCCTGGTGAGGAATATGAAGATAGAGCTTTAGACCACTCTATAACTTTACCCTTCTTTTCCGATTACCCCCTAAATGGAATGAAAAATACAGCACAGTATGAAACCTTACGAGTTTTAAGACTAATCAAGAGGGTCCCAGCTTCCCTTCCAAATTCAGTAATCCTTGAGTCTGAGAGGTCGTTTATCAGAATGGGTACCTGAGATAACGGCAGCATAGAAAGCAGGAAAAAGGAAACAGGAAAATATATTGAAATGATCTTTCTCAATTCTTACCGGTCAAAATGAGGGAAGGAACCAGAATAAAAGATTAAATTCTAAAAGAGAAAATTATATTTATTATAATTTCACAATATGACACAGGTTCTAACTAATCTTGGAATAATGACTTTCTTCACCATCCAAATTCGGTCTTTCTACTGACCCACCAACCATCAGTACAGATATGGTGAAGCCACCATAGTTTGATTGCTTAGGACATTACCTTCCACAGTGGTTGCTTCAGAAGCTTCAGTTTGGTTTCATGTGCACCTGCTCTGTACTTTGTTATAGATGAATATAAGTCACGCAAAGCATGTGCCACCACATAGGCTGCATTGTAGATGCTGTAGCTGTGGCCAGTCATTTGCATTTCAAAGACAGATGTAGGAAGTGTATCCAGTTTCTCCTCTCCATTGCAGAGGGCCTCACCTTCCTCGTCAATCATGCTGATGGGGAATGAACATTCAAATGCAATTCTCCAGAAGACCCTGAAAAGGCTATCTTCTTCTTCCAAGATAGGGTTTCTTGACTGAAGAAATTCTTGGAATCCCAATATCTTCTCTGAGTGAATTGCAAAGGAAATAGCACCATGGAGGAAGACTAGGTCAATATTTCTTACAAAGGAAACTGATGCGAAATCCATCTGGGCTGTCATAATCCAGATTTTATCTTTGACCCATAGTGGTACATTATCATCTTTCAACATGTTGGAAAGTATTCTTAGAAGTATTATGTGATCAGTTTCACCATGAAGGATCACAACATTAACAGTGCTGCTCATAACCTCATAATATATTTTACTCCCCTCTTCCAGTGAATTAACCAGGCCATTGGAATAAGTACTTT